TGATAACTATTATTTTAACATGTTACAAGTGTAAGCTAGTCTTGAATAATCTTGTATTTTTATTTCCTCTTATTGTAGTATTTTTTTTATTTTTAGAACTAATTACTATGAGCTGTTGTACATTGCGAACACGGTAATAGCTTAGATCATTAATCGTAGAATTCTTAATTAATTACATAAAAGACTAGTGTATACGTTTTTGTTAAAGTTAAATCATGGATGAGCGTGAATCTGTCGTGCGTATGTGTGTGTGTGTGTGTGTGTGTGTGTGCGCGTGCGTGCGTGCGTGCGTGCGTGCGTGCGTGCGTGCGTGCGTGCGTGCGTGTGTGTGAACGGAGAAGCGATACAGGAAATAGTTCATTTCGTGAATCACAACGGAGGAAGGGAGGGGGGGGGAAGAAATTATAAAAGAAATTTACAGGAATGAGATAAGGAACGGATGATCGCGGGAGGAATATTGGGATGTAAACATGAGATGGCTGGTTATGACATTTCGAATTTTTTGTGGGTCAAAATAATCGGGAAAATAATCGTCAAAATAATCATTATGTAGGCATCTGGTGAGAGAGATTGTGTTGCACGTAGAAATTGGTTAATTAAGAACTCAAATGAATCATCGGGAATGAGGAATTCGTTTCGTGATGGAGGAGTTGGAAACTTCCAGGAACTTTATGCTCGAAGTCGAGTCAGTCGAACAATGATGATGGATTGAATGGAAGAATCAGAAGTTGGAGGTGGGGTGTCAGGGAAGTTCGCTCCATCAGAGCGTCTGAAAATCCGGATGACGGAGATCGAAGAGGAAGTGAAGGAGTTCGAGGGGAAAGTGAAGGAAAAGGAGGAGATAGCGTTTTGGATAACAAGTAGAGTCGGCGAAACCGATGGTGACAAAAGTGGTAGAGGCAATGCGTTCTCGGCTGGGTGACTCCAATTCCAAGAAGTCTCAAGGTACTCCTGGTACGTTTGGTCTCCGCACTTCACAGTAGGCTTCTAAGCCTTTGTTGGGGTAGTTTAAGCGTGATACTATGATTTTGCGTTGGGTTAGTTTGCGGTGAATATACAGATATATAAATTGAGTGAATATAAGTGAATATATAAATTAAGGGGGGATTACTGCTACGTTGTAAGTTTTGGCTTTCGAAAATGACGTCGAAACATTAATTCTATTGTATTCGCTCATCGAAGGATAGAATACACTACATCAAGGATAGAATAAATTAAATAATTATAAGATATTCGCAATAACTGCGCATTAACTCCCATAGCTTTTATTATTTTAAATTTGTGGAGTCCTTTCTTTAATTAAATTAAAATTTCTGATGTGTTAATCGTCTTACTTTTTTAACAACTAACATCCGATTCCTAATATCCGATTCACCATAGATATAGAAGAGAATGGTAAGCTTCCTCGATGTTCTTGTCACAAAAAAGGTTGACAATTCCTTGGGCCATTAAGTATACAGGAAGCTTAAGTATACACTGATGAATTATACCTACATGTCAAGTCACAGCACCAATCAGTGTAAAAGCAGTTGGCAACTCACTTACTTGGGAATAGAGCATTGACTATCTCTGATAAAGAATTTATAGACAGAATTCAACTACTCGAAACAACAGAACGGATACAATGAGAAAAATGTGAACAGAACGATTAAACATAGGAGCAGGGCAAAGAACTCAAACATACAAGAACCACAGGAAGAATTAAACAAAAGCGTTTCTAACAATAATAAATATTAATTAGCGGACAATGAGAGCATACACAGCGCGGTACTTGAAGCGCAATACATAAAATATATTCATTATAATTTTACATTACTTGTTGATAACAAATTTCTTGAAAATTTCGGTTTACTTTAAACCATTATCATTAATACCATATAATACCATATAATACATATAATTTTCATGAACAATATTCCAATCCGCACATGTTGGAGATGGTTACTGCGTTCGACAGAGCATATCCCTACTTTTTAATTGAGAAATGTTAATTCTCTTCTCTTGAATAACCAAGTGAATAACCTCTGTCTTTGCAGATCACAATTCGAAGTGCAACGTATTATGTTACAATATGTAGAAATAAATTACAGACATATTATACAGAAGCTTTTCTATTCTCCCATATATAAAAGGAATAACTGATCGAATCAGCAGGATTTTTTGAATAAACATAATATTTGAACCATTTTCAAGCCTCCAAGGAAAATCGAACAAATCCTGAGAAATCTAAAGATTGAAGACCTCCACTTAGTTTTACAGTACAAATACAAAATATCCTGCTTTTATGGGAAAATATACATCGATGAAACCGGAAAAATAGTCAATATGCGCATAAAGGAACATCAACAAAATGTCAAGCTGAAATCACACAATCAGCATTGGCAGCATTGAGATATCAAATATAATTTAATAAAACGGCTATTATAGTTATAACGATGTCATATTTTCCAAGAAAGTATAAAGAGATTCTAGAAATACAGAAACATTCAGACAATTTGATTTGAACAGAGATTCAGGTTATAAGTAGGAAGACTGCTCTCCTGACAAGCCAAGAAAGTGCCTCTCCTCCCTTTCCTGTCCATATCCTTGCCCTCCTCAACAGTGTCTATATAAAGGGAATTCTCCGGAAGAGCAGCTTAGTGTCAGTGCGCTCTTCACCCTAATAAAATCAATAATAAGGTTCACGAAGTATTAATAGTGGATAAAGTCACTGCGATAACCTGCAAACTTTCTGATATCTTCAAAAAAAATACTCATAAAAGCATTAGTAGTTTCGAAAGCATTAGTAAATTTATTATTCTCTATTAGCTCTTAAATATCGTTGGTGTTATTATGAAATATTTATAATGTATAGCACAAACTGACGCAGTACATTTTGTTAATATATTACTAGCATATAACATTTATAATTTACATAAATTATACCATCATGTTGCTATAAACATGTTATTGGCCACGGATAACACATTGATGATAATTTGGTAGTTGCCTTCAAATTACTATCTTCGATTTACTGTAAATATGCTATTAATTAGATGGATGACAAATTGACAATACGAGTGCTTTTTTATCATGAGTCTAAAAAAGCACCCCAAGTTCAGTAAGAGGCGAGAAGACTCATGGACATAAGCCACCTCAAAATAAGAGAAAAGACGAGTTAAAACCGGAAAATCAAAAAACAATATGCAATACCCAGAACATGGGCAGAAGCCAACTGCAAACCGTTTATAACAATTTTTTGCATAAACAAAGCACCAAATCGAAAAAATATCAAAAATAAAAGTTTCTTGTTTTCGAATGTAGAATCAAATAGCATTTTTAGTTAAAAAAAAGGACATTTTTAAATAATTTGTTTAAACAATTATTGTTTGAACAATCAATTTTGCAAAACGAAAAAAATTTTTTTTTCGCTTATGCTATGAATCACGTATTCAAATTGGCGTTATCACGGTTATATTAGGCTTTAATGGATTAATTGATTGACTAATATATTGTCATCAATTTATCATCAATTTATTATTAGAATTAAAATTAGAATTATTATAACTCAGATAACATAAGATATCTAAAAGACATCTTTTAGACGTCTTATGTCTAAAAGATGTCAACATAAATGTTATCTGGAAAGTTTAAAAAGACAGACATAATGATGTCTTAGTCCTGAATATCGAAATTGCTGCAATGATTTTCAACAATATGTAAGATGCACTGCATTTAGCTATTTAGATAGGTTTTTAAATACTTAATCAGGGAAAGTAATAAAATTTATTAAATAAATGTTTCTATAGGTAAGTCTGTTAGTAAATAATGCTGGATATGTATACGGGAAGACTTTCATGGAATTGCCCGATTACGAAATTGAACAAACTTTTAAAGTGAATATTTTGTCACATTATTGGGTGAGTACTTAAAGAAATTTATATTTTTTAAGTTTTTTGCAAAAGTTGTCATACTACTTCCGATTTTTATATTTTATCAGCATTATTTTACAGATTACAAAATCATTTTTGAAAGATATGATAAAAAATAATCATGGTCACATTGTGACAATAGCGAGTGTTGCTGGACTTTTAGGAATTTACAAGTGTACAGATTATTCTGCGACAAAATTCGCCGCCATTGGATGTCATGAGAGTCTTTTCACCGAACTCAAAGTATGTAGACCACAATTATCGAATAAAGTAAATAATTTCGTATCATCGTTCTTATCACCTTCTCCCTCCCCCCATACATTACTAATTATTATTTTATTATCACTGTATTTTATTATTATTATTATATTTTAAGATGCATGGCTACGAAGGAATTCATATGACTTTAGTTTGTCCCTACCTCATTAATACGGGAATGTTCAACGGAGTGAAACCTAGGTTCGTGAAAATATTATATGTTATAAAAAAATTAGTGAAAAGACAATTATTCAATTATTTATACATACGATATTTTATAATAAATAATCTTCAAACAGATTGATACCAATGCTTGAACCGGAATATGTTGCTGAAGAAGTAATCGCGGGTATTTTAGCAAACGAAAAATTGATAATATTACCTAATATTCTAAGATACTTATTGCCGTTTAAAGGGTAAGTTCATTAATAAATAATAAATAATAATAAATAATAAAAACATTATA